CTACATCATATATAAACCACCAATTCAGTGTACATACTCCCCAACTCCACTTACTGGTTCAAAGGTTTTCCAACTGGCTTATTAGATGCAAACAAGGTATACATTTCACTGGATCAGGACAGCTTCAGCCTCTTTAAGTTGTTGGGTTCCCGCTCTTTACCCAGCCATTTATTTAAAGAGACTAGGCCCTTTGACATAGTTAAGTAGGTAATTTGCTAAACCGAGTCTCCAAAATTCATTTATAAATTTTTAAAGTTTTCAAGAGATAATTAGCTACTTTTAGAAAGGAGGCTCTGACAAATAGCTTGTTTCAATCAAAGCAAATGACAGGATTAATATTCAGGTCTTATGATTCCAAAACCCTTGATTTTAAACATTACCCGACAAATGTACAATTAGAATCATGAGAGGTGGGCCCTTTAACTTAACATCTTTAACCACAGTTTTTATTTCGGTCAATACTTGCAAAATGACCCTTGAGGAAGAGAGGCTAACAGATTGAGCAACACATTAGATCCTTGTAAACTCTTTGCAAACAGCAAATCATTTTAGCTAAAGACAGCATCATTTTAAGTCTATACTATGTAAGAACATACTTACTCTCCAGATTAATAGCTACCTGGAAATTTAAACACTAAGAATTACTTAGTTATTCATTCTTTTTATTGGATTCAAAGAAAGAAAGAATACAAATGATTGGTTAAGTGCTGCGCACCAACATGGAAACGGTGTATTAAAAAAACAAAAACCCAGTAAAGCAAATCAAAGTTAATGTACTTTCAACAGAACAGAATTGAGGATGTTTAATATACTACACATTTATAAAATAAAATTTAACAAAGGGTAAATAATTAGTAGAACAAGTGAAAATAAATATCAGAGACCTGAAGTTTTTGTTTTAATGAATAAAGCAAAGAAATTTAAACTACCAAATATAATCTGAGTTGTTTTTTTTTTTAAAAAAAAAAGGCAACACAAAAATCTCACCAAAACCAAACCCCCCAAATTTAAGAACACAGTCTTTTGAAACACTTAATCAGTTCATAGCAAATAGTCAACACATACCAAAAGCTCTAAGTGTTAACTAGTTCCACCACAATTTCAGGTAAATCTTGACAATTTAGAAATCTTGAGATCAACACTTATTTTCTTGATCTCCACAGCTTGGTTTGTTGGGTATACACACACATGCTTTTTGTGGATCCATCCCCCCTCGCCACATACACATTTCCAAGGAACCAGTAATATTTTTCCATCTGTGCCTTAAAATGTTGTTTCTGTTCTAACATTGACCCTGATAATGAAAAATGTCTAAGTTAAAGATGGGAACACAACCCCAGTCTTATAAAAATATATCATATACCAGTATTAACCAAACTTTAAATTTAGATAGGGCACTTCACATGTGCACGACTGATTATTTCAGGAAAACTGACAGAACAGCTGTTTTCAGGACTTTTTATTAAAAAGTCTCGTACACACACATACACATCTGATACTATTGGTTTCACTGAATCCAGGCTATCTGGATTTAAGGATAAGGGATGGGTTTCATAGTTTGTTTTTACAACTATAGGGCACCTACTTAAGAATGCTGAAAAATATCTCTATTAAGTTCACCCTGTTTTTAGAAAGTGTCTAAGTGTAAATGCAGTTCACCTCTTTTAAAATTAGTTTGTATTAAATCAGATAATAGTTTCTGAAATAGAAGTGTTTCAGAGAGCAACCCAAAAGTAGAGTTGCTGAAGCCTAAATGAAAAAGTTTTAAGAGATTTTTGTGTTTTATTTGGGACAAAAGGGTATTTATTTTTTTTAAAAAATGTCTTCTTTCCTCCTCATTCAAAAGCAGCCCTTCTTCTGCTGTAAAGAAATGGACATGGATGTGTCCCCGTCAAGAAGTGTAGGAGATATTTACCCACTGTGAGGCAGAGGTGACAGAGTCAGTTCTTGTTTGCAGAAACCAACATCCTACAAAAGAAAACGTCAAGATGGGGAGGGGTGGGAAGGGGTTGGCTATTAATGTTGAATTGGAGGTAGACACTCCTACTATGAGTGATGTCAGATTAAGAAAATACTGACTGAACAGATTCCTTCCCACCCCTCAGCAGTTATTTCAAGTTAGGGAATCCCTTTTCATTCTTCCACCTGGTAAACAGGCTAACGTGTAGATAGAGAATTTTAACAATTTTCTGTTTAAACTACTTACCTGGTTTAATTTAACTTACTTATCGGGCCAGTAAGAGCAACAGAAATGTAGCTGGTATGAATATTAATAAAAAATGAAACGTCGTTATCTCCTAACTCTTTAATTCTGTGTCACTACCCACACACCACGAATTCTAACAATCCTCAAATCCAGTACACTTTGCCATAAACAACCAATTATGTGGAGGAAAAATGTTTTATGCTCTAGCCCTTAACCAATGAATAGCAAAAACATTTTTAAACACATGGAAATGGGCCTACTAACCTGAATTTTTTGGAGCCAAAAGTCTCCACCCTATTTTGAGCTAAGTGCAAAAAGTATTGGTACTTTTCAGTTTATAATCTTGTAGCCGGCTTGACAGTATTCGCTTTTCTTTATGCCTAGGGTCTGTAGCAACATCAGTAGTTTTCCATTTATTGTCTATGCATTAGAAAATCCTGCCCTCAAGTTCTGTGTCAGTCAGTCCTAGGTCCCTTCATCATTTACCTTTCTGGCAGTCAATGCCTGGCAAATGTGTGGAACATACTGACAGCATGTTGGCACAGCGAAGTACCAGTGTATGAGGGAAGCTGCCGGTTCAGACAGACCTGGAAAGCAACTCACCTAGCTGCTGTAGGAACCTTTGCATAGCTGTTATACTTTGTTTTAATGGAGTTATGTTCTTGTAAAATGTGCTTCACACTTACTGTACTCAGATCTAGGGGTGGTTGGGTAAAGTAGAATCTGAACCCCAAATGGAGACAAATCTTAAGTGTTACAAAATGTACCATCATTACACATCATAATCAACAGCTGTGGAGTTTCGATGCTCACAGTTTATTAGTGATATACGTAGAGACTGGGGTGTATTAAGGGCTTTGGGGTATAGATAAATCACTAAAAATATGACTGTGTTAACTGGACTGAGGTAAAGTTAAGTTGCCACTTAATTATATACAGTTACCAATGAAGATTTTTATTCAAGCTTAAAGTAAAAAGTAATTTTAGTTAAGAAAAATGAAGTACCAGATAAACTGTAACATATATTTGAACTCAGAAGTATCAAAACAGGAATTCTTTGATTCTCTAATAGTGGTCTCTGCAAAATGGAGCATAAAGAATTCTTTCCCATACCAATTTGATAAAACAATCAGCTGGCCATGATCTGTCATTTTCCTTGGGGAGAATCGATGCTACTTTAAGGCCAACCGTGGTTTTTCTTCTTCCCCGATTTCCCCTGCTGTCATTCCCTCCTCCCCACCCCCAGCAATGAGAGAATTAGTACCAGACTTTATAATTTAATTTTAGGGGTATCCCACCTTCCGTCCTAACACATCTTTAAAGAAAGGGAATTTCAAAGGAGACTAAGTCTATTGTATTCAGCTGTTAATGGGTTTAAATGCACAATGAACATCAGGCTTTTGGCTTATTTTAAATGTTAAATACTCAAAGTGTTTCTTCCATGAAGACAGTCCTTCCTTATACTAAAAGGGGAGGGGCAGTGGGAACACTACTCACAGCAGCACCAGTTTAGAATGAGGTTCAGTATGGCAATATTGGAAAAAACGGAGAAGGAATATTCTTAAATTTATGTGTCCATGTCAGAAGAGTAGGGAATTAAGGGAAGTGACTGCGACATTGTAAATCCAGTTTAAGGATGTTTACAACCAGATGCATTTTTCCTAACAATCTCAATTGCACTATAAACTTTTAAAAGTTGCTGTACCTGATAGATTTCTACTCGCTTGCTAGTCACACCGTAATGATTTGCCAAACTGAGAGCAACTTATATGGAGAACTGACAACAGCCACAGAGTTCTCGTCAGGGTGTGTGGAGACTTCTAAAAAGCCTGAATCTCTTCCCGATCAGTTACTGATGTTTCTATGGGAATAAAAGAAAATGAGGAAGCCTTTAAAATATTACTCTGATTTTCTGTGTAATGTCCTCTGAGCACTGCTTCTGACCGTGTCTTGTACTCTAGAAGACTAGCAGTCATTCTGCATGTCTAAGCCACAGAGGGGACTGTTTTGGAGCTGGTTTAGATTCCAAATGTATACAAATGAAGTCACTTTAATCCTATAAATACTTCTTAATTTATTTTTAGAAAATTGTGCTGTTAACCCTTTTATGGGGCAACAAGCTATGTGAAAAGTACAAAACTTTTTGTCAAATGTAATCTTGAGAGTGCTTTTGACACAGTTCACTGTTTATCGTCTGGACCAGTATATACTGCGCAACGGGCAAGGCTAGAATCCATGGGCCAAGCTGCAGAGGTCTCAAGCTAAATAAGGCGACAAGATTTGGAGAAACAAAAGGAAGCAATTCTTTCCTAGCAACGCATACTCTTCAGACTAATGCACTCTTTCTACCAGGCCTTCTAAAGTGTTAAATAAAATTTTCCAAACAAGCATTTAAACTTCATTACACAGAAGAGCAACAAGAATGGTATCCTGCCAGACAAAAGGCAGGAGGGGGGGAAAAAATATATATATATATATATATGTATGTATGTATATATATATATATATATACTGAGTTCAATGGATAAGCCTGAATGTAGCACAGTTCTTCACAACCGATGGGGGAATAATTCAACATGGTGTCCAACAACGTTCTAACGACGTGCTTCATCTCAACTGGTTACTATGAAGCAAGGTGTAAAGATTTGGCCCCAATCGGGCATCAGAAATGGTTCTTTTTTTCATGACGAGCATGTCCATCCAGCTATCAATCATGTTTGTTTGCACCAAATCCCAAGCCATTAAAATACGACTAATTTTAAGTTAAACAGAAGTCGTCTGCTCCAAATCGCCATCAACTATCCATGCTGCTGCACTCCTCTGCTGGAAGACAAGGTGCAGTATGCGCGGGAGGAGGAGAGACAGAAGGGGAGAAAAGAAGGAGCAGTTAGATGGTTTCAAAATTGGCATCATGACATTACAAAACACAGTTACAAAACAAAGGAGCCTATCAAATAGAATTCTTGATACTTCTGCCACAGTCATTAACATGTAACAATCATTAACACATGTATCTGTATCATAAACCACACATTACAGTCTACACTCAAAATGTTAGTAGAGAATTTCATATTCACTCAAAATGTTAGATAATTTCATATTAAAATAAATAATCATAGAAACCCATGCTTTTAAAAAAGCCACAAGATTGTTACGATGAACAGAAAACCATTATTAGTGTTTAAAATCAGAAACTGGGAAGAAAAAACTGGTGGTCTAAGAGGAAGCCTAGGAGCTCTGAATTACAACTGTGGATTTGCTTAATTATCTTTTTTAGTTGCTCATTATGTAATTCTGGAATATCACCCTCCTTTATGTTTTCATTTATGCATATGTGTAATACATGAGATACAATTTATCTATTAAAATATACAATTCAGTAGCTTCTAATATTTACATGTGTGCATATACACACACAACTCTCTCTCATAGGGTTGTATAGCCATCACTATAATTAATTTTAGAATATTTCATCATCCATTATTCCTTACTTCCCTCCTGTCCTAAGCAATTATGTAGCTACCTTCTGTCTCTTTTGATTTACCAAAACGGAACCATTTTATGCAAGTAGAATCCTACAATATGTGATCTTTGAGTCTGCCAGCTTCTACATGGTATAAAAGTTTTAAGATTTAAAAAAAAAGTTTTAAGATTCATCTATGTTTTAGCAGGTATTAATACTTCAACTTACTCTTTTTTATTTATACCTCAAATAAATACATAGTATGTAAACTCTACTACTAAATAATAAAGTCCAGCAAACTTTCTTTTGAAAGGAAGTTTTCAGGTGAAACAATATATTGCTTCTATTTAAAAAAATTTCTATTCCAAGGGAGCTCTGGTGGCCTAGTGGCAAGAAGCTGTACTGCAATCACAAAAGTGTGCAGTTCTAATCCACCAGATGCTCCGCTGGAGAAGGAGGGGCAATCTCTTCATGTGCCTGTCAGATGTGATTTGACAGGACACAAAAAGAAAAGCAGAAGGGGGGAAAAAAAGTAACCTGCCCCCACAAAAAAAAATTTCTATTCTACAAAGGAATTACTTTATTTAGGAAAAAATGTTTGGTTCCCCCTCACTCCCCATGGGTGGGGATGGAGGGATGGGCGGCATGAGAAAATCAACAGTTAACTTAAAAGGATACAATAAAAATGTCTGGTTAGGGAGAACCAAGATGGCAGTGGTGGAGGAAACAGCATGAGGAGCTGGGAGCAGCAAGCTGAATAGAAACAGGCCACCAGAGAGACCAACACAGTGCACTGAGACCAATATGGTGTGATATGGACAGTAATAATTTGAGTTAGAACTTTTATTAAAATAATTAGTTTGGTAGCCAGAAGAGCAGTGACCTGTGGGCCCCATCAGAAGCTGTCAGCTGAGCTGCTGTGGGCCCCACCCATCAGGAGAAAGCAGGTCAACAGGAAACTGAGTTTTTATAAGCCCTGCCAACCTGCAAGGAGCAAGCAGTTCAGTGGGAACTTGACTGAGTTTTCTTGGGCCCTGCCAACCCGCCAGGAGCAAGGGTCCTACTGACACAAGGACTGCTGGGTGAGGGCCGCTGAGAAATAAACAGCTGGAATTTGAGTAGTGACCCCACGCATAACCACACCAAGACAGCTGAAATCTTAGTGAGGTCCCCACACATGGACGCCCCACCACCATGCTCACCCCCATGCCTTCCCCCTCCCTCCTAATTCAGCTCGACACCTGTGCCTGCACATCTAGTCAATCAATTTGCCTTTAATCTGAAGTTCCTTGATCTGACAGCTGTAAGAGGCTGCTCTCACAGTCCTGAACTGAATCTTCCCTTAAATCGGAAGTTCAGAGAGAAACACAGGCAAGGTAGCTGCCCCACTGAGTTCCAGAGCACTGTCTTCAGATCAAGAACCTATCTTCACCTCAGGCATGAAAAACTCTACCACAGCAATGGTAAGAAGGAAACAGACTACCTCACACCCTACACAAGCGCAAAGCAATATGTCACCCCCAAAAGGTGACACAGTACCAATGGATTTCCTGAAGCTAGAAAGTTTGATGGAACTTTCTGACACAGAATGTAAAAGAACAATGATTGAATATATTCAGTGGGTGAAAGACAAACTTGAAGTACTGCAAGTAAAAACCAGGAGAAGCTTAAACAATGCAGATAAAACAAATGAGGCATTAATGGCACTGGAAAAACAAGAAACCATGATCCAAAATATGAGGTCCAATGTTTCAGATGCTGTCAACATGATGGAGGGACACATGAGCAGAGATGAAGAGATGGAACACAGAACCAATGAAATAGAAGAGTTGTCACCATTGATCTGTTAAAGCAAAAAGCAGAATCAAAAAGGAAGGAAAAAGAAGAAAACCTAAGAATAATGTGGGACACCATCAAGAGAAATAACATGTGCATCATTGAAATTCCAGAACAGCAAGAAGAAAGTAATGGTACTGAAAAAGTTGTGGAAGAATAACTAGAAGAAAACTTCCCAGGCAAAATGAAAAATGAGGGAATATATATATTCAAGAAGCTGAGTGAACACCAACCATAAAGAATAGATCCCAAGAGAAAAACACCAAGGCATATCATAGTCAAATTTGCCAGGACAAAGATAAAGAGAGAATTGTGAAAGCAGTGAGGGAGAAACAAAGAGTAACCTATAAGGGAGAGCAGGTAAGATTAAGTTTCTCAGCAGAAACCATATGAGTAAGAAGACAGTGGAATGACATATCAAAAACTCAAAGAACACAACTATCAACCAAGAATACAGTACCCAGCAAAATGGTGCATCAAATATGAAAGAGAGATCAAGATATTCCCCCCAAAAACAGAACCTAAGGGAATTTGCAAAAACAAGACTAGTATTGCAGAAAACACTGAGAAATGTTCTTCTTACAGAGGTACCACAGAAAGCAAGATGGACTACTAAAGTAACTAGCAACAGCACGAAAAAGAACTCAACAAAATGATAGCAATAAAACCCTACCTTCTCAATAATCACACTGAATGTAAATGGTTTGAATGTACCACTGAAGAGAAAACAAGTAGCAGACTGGATAAAAAAACTAATATCTATCAAAATACAAGAGACACACCTGAAAAATAAAGATCAAGACTACAAATAAAAGGGTGGGGGGAAAATATACCAAGCAAATGGCAACCAGAAAAAAGCAGGAGTGCGATATTAATCTCTGATAAAATAAATTTTAATGAAAAACCATCACAAAGGACAAGGAAGGTCACTACATAATGCTTTAAGGGTCAATAGAACCAGAGGACCTAACTATAATAAATATATATGCACCAAATGAAAGACTGGCAAAATATATAAAACAAAGGAAAAAGGAAAGAGACAAAACTACTTTAGTAGTTCAAGACTTCAATACACCATTCTCAAGAAAATAGAGCTACCAGAAAAAAATACTCAACAAAGATGAAGTTTTAAACCACACAATAAACCAAGTCGACCTCATAGATATTCACAGGCTAATGCACACCCCAAAAAAAACACAGTATACCTTCTTCTCCAATATGCATGGAAAATTCTCCAGAATAGACCACATTTTAGGTCATAAGGCAAGCATCAATAAATTAAAAAACATAGAAATAACACAAAGCATTTTCTCAGACCACAATGCTACAAAGTTAGAAATTAGTAACAAGAGGATAAAGGAGAAAAAAAAACCCAACCAACCATACATTTGGAAGCTGAACAACAGCTTGCTTGAACATGACCGAAATAAAAAGTGAAATTAAAAGTTTCTTGAAGCAAATGACAATAAAAACACCATTTATCAAAAACTCTGGGCAACAGCCAAAGCAGTAATCACAGGTCAATTGACAGCAATAAGCAAACATATCAAAAAGGCAGGAAAAAATGACCATTGACTCTTTAACCCAGCATCTCCAACAAAATGGAAAACAACAGCAAGAAAACTCGACACCGTCTCAAAAAACTGAAATTATCAAAATTAGAGCAGAACTAAATGAAATAGAAACCCAAAAAACAATTGAAACCAAATGAGGAGTTGGTTCTTTGAAAAGGTCAATTGAAAAGTTAATAAAACAACTTCCAACAAAAAAAAGTCCTGGACCAGATGGTTTTAGAAGTACATTTTATCAAACATTCAAAGAAGATCTGTCACCAATTCTACATAAACTATTTCAGAAAATAGAAAAAGAGGGAATCCTCCCAGACTCATTCTATGAAGCAAACATATCCCTGATACCAAAGCCAGGTAAAGACACCATCAAAATAGACAACTATAGGCCATTATCTCTATGAATATTGATGAAAAAATCCTGAATAAAATCTTGGCTAAAAGAATTCAACGTTTTATATATATAAATCACCATGAAAGTGGGATACATTACAGGTATGCAAAGATGGTTCAACTTAAGAAAACCAATCAATGTAATTCATCACATTAACAAAGCAAAGAACAAGAACCACATGATCCTATCAATTGATGTAGAAAAGGCCTTTGACAAAATCCAACACCCTTTCCTGATTAAAACACTCAAAAAAATAGGATGAGGGGAATTATTTCTTAACATAGTAAAAAGTTTATACGCAAACCCAAGAGCCAACATTGTTCTCAATGGAGAGAGATTAAAGGCATTCTCCTTGAGAACAGGAACTAGGCAAGGATGCCCACTATCACCTCTCCTATTCAATACTGTATTGGAAGGCTTAGCAATAGCATTAAGACAAGAGAAGGAAATAAGAAGTACCCAAAATGGCAAAGAGGAGGTAAAATTATCTCTCTATGCAGATGATATAACAGTATACTTAGAAAACTCTAAAGACTCAGCAAGAAAACTACTGGACATAGTTGACCAATTCAGCAAAGTGGCAGAATACAAGATCAACATACAAAAATCAATTGAATTTCTCTACAGTGACAAAGAAAAAACAGAGCTAGAGGTAAGAAAACAACATCCTTCACAATAGCTAATCACGAGATTAAATACTTAGGAGTGAACCTAACCGAAGCACAAAAGATCTATTCAAAGAAAATGATAAAATGTTACTACAAGAAACAAAAAGAGATCTTGAGAAGTGGAAGAATATCCCTAGCTCATGATTAGGAATATTGTGAAAGGGACAATACTATCAAAGGTCATTTACATGTTCAATGTAATCCCAATACAAATACCAATTCCATTCTTCAATGAGATGGAAAAGGCAATCTCCAATTTCACTTGGAATAGAAAGAGGAACTGAATAAGCAAAGAACTCCTTAAAATGAGATACAGGGTAGGAGGCATCTCACTCCCTGATTTCAAATCCTACTACAATGCTGTGGTGGTCAAGACAGTGTGGTACTAGTAGAATGACAGACACATAGATCAATGGAATAGAACTGAAAATCCAGAAATCAGCCCATCCGTCAGTTAAGTGGGGAAATGACATCCTTTTTAACAAAGGGTGCTGGAAAAATTGGAAAACTATCTGCAGAAAACTCAAGCCAGATCCACACCTCACTCCATACAAAAAAACCAACTCAAAGTGGATCAGGAACCTAGGACTAAAAACAAGGACTATAAACTTCATTAGAGAAAAGCCTGAAAGAACTCTAGAAGTCCTAATCCACCACATAAACACTCTTCCAAGCATCCTGAAAAAATATAAAATCAGGAAAAGGATAAAATAGATGAATGGGACTTTCTAAGAATCAAATCCCTATGTACATACAAAAACTCCAACAGGTTAAAAGGGGAAGCCACATACTGGGAAAAAATATTTGGTAATGACATGTCAGATAAGGGACTTATAGCTAGAACTTATAAAAATACTCAAACACCACAAGATAAAGGTAAACAACCCAACTGAAAAATGGGTACAGGATATGAACTGACATTTCACCAAAGATGACATTCAGATGGCCAACAAGCACATTAGGAAATGTTCAAAATCCTAGCTCTAAGAGAGATGCAAATCAAAACAACTATGAGAGATCACCTTATCCCAGTAAGAACAGCAAAATATAACAGCAAAAAACAAATGCTGGCAAGGTTGTGGAGAAACTGGGAACCCTTATTCCCTGTTGGTGGGAGAGTAAAATGGTGCAACCACTATGGAAGGCTGCATGTCCTGTTCTCAAAGTTACAAATAGAAATACCATTTGACCCAGCAATTTCACTACTGGGAATATAGCCTAAAGAAACCATAACTGCCACCCAAGCAAATACATGCATACCCATGATTATTGTAGCTTTGCTCACAAAAGCAAAGAGTTAGAAACAACCCAAGTGCCCATCAACAAATGAATGAATAGAGCAGCTCTGGTATATTCGCACAATGAAATACTATGCAGCATTTAAAAACAAGGAATTCATGAAATATTAGACAAAATGAGTGAGCCTGGAGGACATTATGCTGTATGAACTATCTCAGTCACAAAAGGATAAACTGCATAGTGCCACTGTTGTAAAATGGGACTGACATTGGGGTTGGGGGGAAATTGAGAAAGAGGGGATAAATAATGTATATTGCATTAAAACAGATGAGGGAGAAAACTGTTTAAAAAGGAGGTATGATTAGGTATCACTGTCATGACAGAGTCTAGAATGAAGCCTGCATAGTGGAGTGGACTTGGGAGGAGGGATTATATAACAATGAATGAATTTTTCTTTTCCTTTTCAAAGAGAAGAGCGAATTGGGGGAAGGGTGGGCAGGGAGAAAAGTGTAACAGAGAATGAATGGAAATCCAAAGTGTCTGTAAACTTTCATTACAATTATTATTTTTTTTTAAAAAAGGGTCTGGTTAGAAGTTTCTTACTTTATGTGAAAATAAAACTCTATGAAGGGCTATTTTCATGTTGCCAAAATACAGCAGAAAGTTGCTGAACAATATGCGGCTTACAAGTGAACCAAAAGTCAGCTCTCCACCATTAATGAGAACCAATAGGAATCAATTCACCTAACAGCAGCCAAGACAGAAACAGAGGTTATAAGCAAATCCTCAAAGGTATTTCTCAAATCAGTCCACTATGTGGACTATGTCACTATATAATGTTTTTTCCTATTTCTTCTAGACACATATGTACACTTGACTAAATTATTTCTAAATAACTAAGGGACTGATGGAGAAAGGAAGATCCTCAACCTGGTGTACTGACACAGTGACTGTACAATGAGCTCAAGTGTGTCAGAGACTGTAAGGATGGCACAGGATAAGACAACGTTTAGATTGGCTGTTCACAGTGTGCCATGAGCTGTAATTGACTTGCTGGCACCTAACAACAAGACGAAGTAACTAATAAAATTAGAGAAGTATATATGATCCCAGTTGTAGAGCTCTGTGAATCCATCTTAGAATGCCGTGAACCATGAACAAAAGCTAAAAATTTTTGGTCTTAGTTAATATTCTAGAGAAATGTTAGAAGGTCAGGCAGCATCATGGATTGAATTTTGCCAACTTGGCTGGGGCAAGCTTCTCAGTGTTTTAGAGATAATGATGATGTGGCACTTAAGTAATCATCCTTGGAATGTGGCTTGATGTCCCTGTACCCAGAGTGACATGCAACACATTTGTCTTTACAAAACATCGAAAGAGCCAGGAGTGGAGTGGTAAACCTCTTAGATTCAAGACAAGCTTGATGCCAAGCCACATGGAGATCCTCAAATGAGGCCTACAGGTCATGAAGGAAGCAGGGACCTTCCTGTGGAAGTGCAAGCAGACAGAGCAAGCAGCCATCTAGAGCAGGCTGGATGAGTGACTCTCAGCCTCTGAAGTGGTGACAGAGTACACTGTTGTCTGTTAAATCCATCCACTAGTGTGCTCTCTGTTAGGGAACATTAGATAATTACCACAGGTAGTTATCAACAAATGGAAAGGGCCCACTCAAGTTCTGTGCAACCCAGCAGGTCTCAAGTTCTTTCTCCTATTTACTGTGCATCATTTTCTCAGGCCTGGCTGCATATCCTCACCTATAATAAGATCAAGTAAAACCTAGTTTGTATTAGAAAGATAAAAATAAAACGCAAAGGATATACTTTTCAAACCATATATGCCACGTAAAAAAAAAAAAAAATTATGCCATTTACATAAAAATTCTGATAACCCTCTGGTCCTGCCATCATGCTCATCTTAAGTTTTTTTTCCTTGTTAGTGTAGTTTTGGTCTTTGTCTCCAAGCATCTCAAAGTCAGAACCAAACAAATCCAGTTGGTGTCAGGAGAATCCTGATGCATGGAGAGCCCACTGCTTTTAGATTTGGAGAGCAGCTGCCTTCTACACAGCCTTCAGGCTGTGCCTTTCTGGAAATGGACCACGGCTCCTCCTTCTGATGTGCCTACCTGGGCTTACACCTCTGTGCTAACGAGGGACTTTAAGGATCTCAGAGTCGTACAGACCTAAAGTATTCAACAACCTGCTTTGCAAAGCTTCAGTTTCTTCATCTTTGAAAATGAGGATAATAAAAGATTTCTGTTACTGATGAAGATTTTAAACAAGGTAATAAATATAAAAGCCCCACTCTCTCCTAATCAGATATAGTTTATGACAGTTGTATTATCAACATATATTTGTTTCTAAAAGTTTTAAAAGTAATAGTAAAACTGTCATCATTGTACACCATCAAGTTAGAACCGACTCCTAGCTGACCCTCTCGGGTGTCTTCAGAGACTTCAAACATCTTTCTCCCACAGAGTAGCTGATGGATTCAAACTGCATAATTCTGCCTTGGTAACACAATTCCTTATCACTAAAGCACCATAAGAGTTCCTATTAAAATGTTCCAAAACTGTGCTAAATTTATGTATGTGGAGTCACTGGCTGGTGGGAATGGCAAAGATGCCTGGCTGGTAGCTGAAAGGTTAGTCATTCAAGCCCACCCAGTGGCATCTCGGAAACCCAGCCATCTATCTGTAACCCAGCCATGGCCAGGCCCATAGAGCACCACTGTGTTTAGACACCCCCAGGGTGACTGGCACCGTGTTGGGGTTCCCACAGGTGCCTCCACAGGTACTGGAAGTTATTTACCTCCTAAGTGTACAACAAACCACCAAATAGTAAGTTAGGTAGAGTGAGAAAGGAAGGCTTTTATGTAAGGCTTCTAAAATGACAATAATTCCAATAAAAAGATAGCATATTCCAATTTGCTCTCTGCTTATCTAAAAAACCCAATCAAAACCAACCCAGGACGGAAATAAAACTTCTAGTGAATCTTAAATACATTCTTTCCATGGGGTAAAATAAGACAGAAGCTCTTGAGAAGGGTGCAACAATGAATGAATGGAATTCCAAAATCTCTGTAGATGTTCACTGAAGTGAAAAATAAACAACCTAAATTAAAAAAAAAAAAAAAAAAAAGACAGAAGCTCTAAAAGAGGGAGAAAAACAAACTATACCACACTTCCAATAATATCTGTTCAAGTCTATAAGTAGTGTAATGTTTTCATCTGGGAAGAGTCCACAAGGATGTGGACGATCATGTTACCTTCAATATTCTGGTGGTCTATAAAGGGCGCTGGCCCCCATATCCTAACAGTGCCGTCATCGGAGGCGCTGGCCATCATGGATGGGATCTGTGGGTTCCAGCTCACACAGTTGACTGTACGCGTGTGACCCGTCAGCTCGGCGATGGGCAGCTCACTGCGTTTGTGCCAGATGTAAACCTTATGATCTGAATAAAAAGAAGTGCAGCAAAAAGAATCAGAAGTTGCTTTGCATTCACATTCATTATACATATCTGACTAAATTAATATAGACTATGATATATAGTTTAACAAATTACCTTATACAAAGCCATTTTTAAAAAATTCAATTTTTCTGTTAAAGAACATTGTTGTTGATTGCCATCAAGTTGAGCATGACTCATAGCGACCCTATGAACAGATGGCCCGATGCCTTTCTATATCAAAATATTTAAACATTTAACAAAGCATGTTGTTTAGGAAGGGGATGCCAATTCTGCTACCAAATAAAGAACAATAGCGCTTATCAAATTCTACCTGAAATATTTCATCAATGTTATCAGTTCATAAGAAAAATAAGAGAGGTCTCTAAATGAATCCAACATAAAAGAGCACTGGGATTTGTCACTTGTTCTATGGAATCTTGAAGTAACAGAGCAATGTAGTGAAATTTTTAAAATAAACGCCATGAGGATGATGCCCAAGTCTTTACTGACTGCTCACCAAGTACAAAACAGTGATCTTTTTTTCTGTACTGCCTATTTAATCTTTACCACCATCCCAGGAGGTGCGGACTGTCCTTACCCATTATGAACAATAACTGAGAGGTAAAGTGACGTGCTAATGGTCAATAGCTAGTCAATGGTCAGTGTGGGCGTCAAGGAAGGCAGCCAGGCTTGGTGCTTCGTGAGTCTGCACACTATTTCATATGTGCATTCAAACATGGCTTTGTGGGAGGTGGTTTAGTACCTCAAGAGGTGACCAAAAACTCCTACATTGTGATGACCGGTCTTCAAAATAAATAACCAGGTATTACAGAACAATGGTTACGAGCACAGCCTTTGGAGTGAAGACTACTCAAGGTCAAATCTTTCCTCTCCCACTGAATAGCTTGGGACATCAGTTAGTGTACCATCTAGAACATTTTTCTCAATGTGCTGCTGCTAAGATTAATTACATTTATACACGAAAATGCAAGCAAGATTCTACTGAAGATTATCCAAAAACAATTAGAACAGCACAACAGCAGAGAACTGCAGGAAGTCCAGGCTGGGTTTAGAAGGGGTCGTGGTACTAGGGATATTGTTGTTGATGTTAGATGGATCTTGGCTAAAAGCAGAGAATACCAGAAGAATGTCTATCTGTGTTTCATTGATTATGCAAAGGCATTTGACTGTGTGGATCATAACAAACTGTGGCTGACTCTGAGAAGAATGGGAATCCCAGAACATTTAATTGTGCTAATGCGAAACCTATACTTGGACCAAGAGGCAGTAGTCAGAACAGAGCAGGGTAACACTGCATGGTTCAAAATTGGGAAGGGTGTACGCCAGGGATGCATCCTGTCTCCATACCTTTTCAACATGTATGCAGAGCAGATTATCCGAGAGGCTGGGCTCTATGAGGAGAATTGTGGCATCAGAATTGGTGGAAGATCTATTAACAATCTACGTTATACAGATGACACAATCCTGCTTGCTGAAACTGAGGAGGACCTCATGCACTTGCTGCGAAGGGTCAAGGACTGCAGCCTTCAGTATGGACTGAGGCTCAATGTCAAGAAGACAAAGATTCTCACCACTGGACCAATTGGCAGCATCAGGATGGATGGCGAAGAGATTGAGATTGTTCACAGCTTCAGTTTGCTCGGCTCCACAGTCAACACTCTTGGCACCAGCAGTCAGGAAATCAAAAAGCGTATTGCGATGGGAAAGTCTGCTGTTAGGGACCTCTCTAAAGTACTCAGGAGCAACGCTGTCTCTCTGGAGACTAAGGTGTGCCTGATACAGGCCATGGTGTTTGCAATCGCTTGTTATGCATCAAAGAGTTGGACAATGACTAGGGAGGACAGAAGGAGAGTGGATGCTTTTGAGCTGTGGTGCTGGAGAAGAGTACTGAATGTACCATGCACTGCCAAGAAAACAAACAGATTCATCTTGGAGAGGATTAAACCAAGCTACTCCTTGGAGGCAAGGATTCTGGGGCTTCGTCTGACATACTTTGGACATGCTGCCAGGAGGGACGGGTCCTTGGAGAGGGACATCATGTTTGGGAGGGTGGAGGGACAGCGCAGGAGGGGAAGACCCTCTATGAGATGGATTGATTCAGTGACTGGGGTAATCTGGATGGGTGAGTCAGAGGCAGTGCGGTTGGCGCAGGATAGAGCAGGGTTTAGGGCTGTTGTGCATAGGGTCACTATGAGTCGCAAACGACTCGATGGCACATAACAACACACGAAAATGTGTTTTGAATATGGACATTCTCTGCAGGAGTGCTGCCAAATGAGGAAATTTTACAGTAGCAGAACTCGTCATTTGAGAATATGCCTGGGTCTCAAAGTTTCAGATATAAAAATAAAAAGCTAGAATGTCTGTGAACTCTTTTGTGTGTATGTAAAGAGAAAGATAAAGGGGCTACTTGAAAATGCAGATTTTATCCTTTTGAGAAGTGCTCTGTTGTTCAAGGATTTTGTTAATATTTTTTCTTTGCTTAAGAGAGGGAACTCTGGTGGCTCAGCTGGCAGGCAGTAGCACTGTTGACTCAAAGGCGGGGCCGCTCAGAAGTTTAAATTTACCAGGGATCCTGAGGAAGAAAACTGGCCATCTTCTATGCAAGTACCATCTGGGAACCTCGAAGGAGAGTCAGCCACCAGCTGGTTCTCACTTGATGGTAATGAGTCTGAGTCTTAGTTTGAAATAAGAGGGGGAGGAAGCTAAATTGACGGTTTCCTTTTGAACTACAGAATCCAAAGGCAATCTGTATATATTTGGAGAAAGAGATTCTGTGAATGTGTAACTATAGAAGATATTTGCTGTAGAGGTAGAAAAAAAAAATCAGAAGTATTCAAGATCAGAGTGACATGCTTCAAGTTCAAATTCTGCTTGAAATCAGTCTGGGACATGTAGTACTTACTCAAAGTTAAAAGTCAGTCCAGTTTTTATTATTACCAGTATAATGAGAAAGCTTGTGCTACTGGCACAATGTTTTGGGGGATGGTCTTCTAATTGCTCTATTTTATACAAGTCTTCATATGTTAGAGCGTTTAGAGGCCTTGAAATATATGCCTTGTAATTAGATGACAAATGGATGACTGCAGTTATTCACACTGGGAGAGAATGTATATTCACCCTGGCCAATGAAGGAGCCTTGGTGGCACAGATGTTAAGCGTTGTGGCTGTTAACCAGCAGCTGGTGGTCTGAACCCACTAGCAAGACGAGGTACTCTGATTTTCTGTAAAGACTTAGTTACAAGCTCAGAGTCCTCCAGGGCACATCTACTCTTTCCTCTAGGGTCACTCCACGTTTGAAGGGACTCTGGCAGTGCATTATATTTTGAAGGTGCAGTGGTGCAGTACTTGGCTGCTAACTGAAGGGCAACAGTTTGAATTCACCAGCAGCTCGAAGAGAGACAGGGCCATGGGAACCCTTTGGGGCAGTTCTACTCTGGCATATAGGGCTGTGCCAAGTCAGAGTTGACTTGATGATAGCAGGTTTTATTTATTTCATTGGTGTTCAAAGCATTTTAACCATTCTAAACTACCTGAGTAATAAGAAAAAAAACCCCTTTGTCAGTTATGTCTCATTTTTAGTCCCAAGCAGAATAGAACATCACTTTATTAAACTATCAGACTTGAAGGTGCTCATTGGGAGCTCTGAGGGTGCAGCCCAGAGGGGAGTGCACTGCTAACACACAGTATTGTTTCTCTGGTGGTTCATCTACCAGCTCCTCCACGACAAAGAGAGAGATGGGCAATTCCTCCTGTGTATTTTACAGCTCTGGAAGCCCATCAAAGTTGCTTTGACTTCAAACCAACGAGTAGTACTTGGTGTACTGCAAGTACTTTGAAGGTACTTGAAGGCTACAAACTACCGTGGAGTATTCTGAAACATACTCATGAAGGGAAAAAACACCCATCAGAATCAGGAATGAAGAGAACAGGGGGAGGGTAAATATCTATAGAGTAAAAAAGAAAGCCACTGCAGTTGAGTTACATCTAACTCAAAGCTGACCTTCCAGTGGGTTTCTGGAGGATGTGAATTACATGGGCGGCAACTACCCATTTTCTCCCCAAACACTGGTGAGGTGTGGCTTTTCTGAGAGTTAGGAGAAGTAAAAGATCAAGCAGCAAGCTTAATAGGAAAAGTCAACGGAAAAACCCCTCAATAAAATAAACCCAACCAACTGAATAACAGTATTTGCTCAAACCAACAGGTAAAGAAATGAACTCAGAATTGAACTCAGATTTATCACCAAAAGAGCCATGTTCTTTCCTTCCCAATCTTCTCCCCCATTCAATGATTTTTGGGATGAAGAAAGATGTTCACATACTTCATAGTAAAAATGAGTCTTTAAAAGTCTTTGTCAGAATCCATAAATACCTCAGAAGAGCAGGTTTTCTGGTACAGATAAAGCCAGGCTTCATCTTATATAGTAAAAGGTACACAATCTTGCTTCTTGTTTAAACTGACTGGCTGCCTGGATTAGGCAACAAACAGCTGTGGAATGGAAGCCTCTTGTTTAAAGCAATTAGGATCTGGTGGGTGGGCCTTTGTATTTAAAAGTTGGTCGGGCCTGAGGGCTGTCCTTGAACCTGCTTGTAAATTGTGTTTGGGAAGAACACTGAGTAGTAGAGCACTTGTCTGTCAGGTTTGCTGTACTGAGGTAACTTGGGGTTGCTGTGATACTGAACACTGTGTCACTGGTATGTCAAATGTCATAATGGTTACCCATTGTGGGTAAGTTTTGGCAGAGCTCCCAGATTAAGACAGGCTTGGAAGCAGGATTGACATCCACTTTTTAAACAACAGGCCTTTGCAAACTTTATGAACATTAGGCAAATGATGGAAGTTATAGAGTAGGGCTCAGATCTTTTGTTCATAGGGTCTCTGTGAGTTGTACTCAATGGCACTTAACAACCATCACCACCAAGAGTTTACTTCATAATCCAGTTCTCTTTGAAATAGCTTACAAATATAGATTCACTAGTTTTATAATTATCTTACTTTGCAGCAGTAGTAGCTGGAATATATTGGGTACTGATACCTTGCCATTATTTTTATGCCCCAATATTATTGCTTCATTTATCTGGGTTAACATATTTTTAAACAATTCCTATTTTAAATCAGATAAAATACTAACTTAGACATATGTCTAAAATACGTATGATCAGAAAATAATCAATTTATTAAAAAAGAGTAGTAGAATGAATTCTGGTAATTTCAGCTTTTTTTTTGTTAATATTTTTTTTTCTTTTTCTTTTTTTTTTTTTACTTTCAGCTTTTGTACAACTGTTAAGCATTATCAAACCATACGGTGCTCAAAGGGTTAGGATGTAAAGCTGGAGCACACAATTGAGTTTTATATTCTTACACAAATAATTCTGTGAGTCTGACTCTCCATCTGTAAAAAAGGCAAATTAACAGTCCCTACCCCATCTGATCAAGAATAAATGAGACAATGTGCCCATCAACAAACGATTGGATAGAGAAGCTGTGGTATGTTCACACAATGGAATACTATGCAGCACTGAAAATCAAGGAACCCATGCAATATTACACAAAATGGGTGACCTGGAGGATGTTATGCTGAGTCAAATATCTCCGTCACAAAAAGACAAATACTGCATAATGCCACTGTTGTAAAGAGGGACTGAAACTGGGGTTGGGGGGGAAATGAGAAAAGAGGGGATAAATAATGTATACTGCATATATGATTAGGTATCATTGTCATGACAAGAGTCCAGAATGAAGGCTGCATAGTAGAGTGGACTGGGGGAAAGGGACTGTGTAACAATGAAAGAGTATTTTCTTATTTTTCAAAGAGAAGAGCAAACTGGGGGGAGGGGTGGGCAGGGAGGAAAGTGTGTGTGCAACAATTGCAAATCTAGTCTCTGTAAACTTTCATTAACATTAATTAAAACAAAACTGATCCTGTCTACTGGGGAGTTGCAAATCAATAAAAAACAGTGACAAAAAAAGAGACAATTTATACAGAAAATAACTTGATTATAAATTCATGTAAAACAATGACATATGTATTTTTTTAATTACTAGGAAAAAGGGATTACTGAACAGAATTATCCTTTATGGTCACCTAAAAAAAACCAAACATAACTGAAAATCTACTTAGAATTTATTCTGCCCAAGTTTATGCAAAACGCATGGCTACTAGTGAGAAATCAACAAAATCCAAATGCACCGCCTCCCGGTTGATTCTGACTCTAGGGACCCTCCCACCAGCTTTCCACAGATACAAATCCTTACAGGGACACACAGTGACCTCTTACTCCCACAGAAGTGCTGGTGGGTTCAAACTGCCAATCTTTCAGTTAACACCCCTACATTTATCCTGTAAAATCACCAGTCCCACACACACACAAAAAAGAATCCAAAAGCATGGTTTACCCAAATCCTGATGTGACAGATCAACTGAACACACCTCCACATGGCCAAAAAGGGCACAGCTATTCCAGACAACACACTAGGCTCGTTGTAGTCGAGACACATGGACTCAGGCTGTCATGTTTTCCCCCCACCCCCAGCAGCTTCTCAGGAGGCAGAAAGAGTACAGGCGGAGACTGCCTGTCTTTCTCCCCTGAAGCTGCTGGGGAATCGGTCCTGCCAGGGGTGCACTGCCTTTGGGTCAATAGTACAACTCCCCAGGAATTTTGCCACCAGAGCTACCTAAGCACAACACAGTGAGCTCAAAGGAGAAATTAACTGATCTAGATAAACAACACATAAATCTTAACATCTTCATTTAGCTTAGAGACAAGAGACGACCTTCACAAAGTGTAGGATGCACTCACCTTCACTGCCACTAGCGATGAAGTCTTCATTGTGGCCTCCAAAACATGAATGAATTGTGTAAAACCCTTGTGTGACACCTTGATATTTTCTTACTAAAACTCTGTCTTGTAAGTCCCATAAATGAACTCCCTGGAGGCAAAAGAATATATTTATTTAAATGGTAATTTAAACCTTTTCATTCTCTATTTATTAAAATGTTCTGATACATTAATGGTTGGTTCTATATATTTAAGGATCAAAAACACAGAGTAACAGGCAAGTGTAAGTAAAAATTTAGTTTATACACTAAAAATCATAATTAAGATAAAGTCGCAACTAAGGCAATTTAATTTATGAAAATGATATTAACTTACCTGAGTTGCTACATTTAACAAAGCTAATCGGCCATTTTTTGAAATAGTAAAAGACATAATAGGATGATCTTCTTGTACTCTGTAATGAAGAGGTGACTTGTCAAAAATAATATATGAAGCATCAAGGCAATCAATTAAAATGTAAAATGTCCTAGCTCACTATGTTCCATATCACAACTTTTCCCTTCATTCACTATTTCAAATAAGAAAAAGAATTTGAGCTAATGAGTACTAAAATCAAATGCCACTGCAGTTAATATAAACAAGATAATCACTGTTTAATGGAAAAGAAATAGTTACATGTTCCTATCTGTAAGGTCCTCGAAGTTATAGCCCCGGATCCGCTGGTGTGTGTCTGATGCCAGAACAGTCTTCCCGTCGCTCAAGCACCAAAGGCATTGCACTCTCACCCCTTCCCAGGAGTCAAGAAGATTACCATCTAGATCCTAGCAGGAGAGAACAGCTATTAGTACTGCTGAACAGCACTCAGGAGGCAAGAAAGCACCCCCAAAATTTTCCTTTGTTTTTGCTATGTACCAGCGAGGCAGAACCAACTCAAGAGCTGACCACAGAGTGGGTTTTCAGAGGCAGTAATTGCACAGGAGGAGAATGCCCATCCTTCTCCTGTGAAGCAGCTGGAGGATTCCAATTGCGTGCCTTCAGGATTGTGGCACAGATTCTTACCAGTAGGCCACCAGAGCTCCCTAATTCTCTTTAGCAGTAATTTTATGTATTAGCTTGGGTTTTCTGGAAATTGATCACAAGTTAATTTTTTCAGATAGGTTTTTAATTCTCAGAATTCTAACAGAGATAAAGTCTTTTTAAAATACCTAAAAGGGTAGAGATAAAGGATTTTTGGATAAGTTTATTTTCAATTATAATTCATAAACAAAATATAAAGAAAGCAAATAAAAACCCCTCATTTCTAGCATCAAATAATCAAAAAATATTTTAAAATACAATAGATTGGGACTTGTCCTATAATATTCAGAAGTTGTAATATTAAAAATGATACACTTAAAATCTTATGTACGATTTTATAAGCAAACAAGTATAAAATAAACAAAAATAAAAAACCCAACAAACCCTTAAGTACAACTTTGAATAGAACACAGGAATCTATTATAATGCTTTAAAAAACAACATTTGTTAACATGCTTTATAGATTACAGCTCTTAAACAGAAATTATCTTTCAATGATTTTCATTGCTTTTAGAGCTGTTCTTATTCCCATTTTACAGGGAGGAACCAGCAGGCCTATGCCCTGAAGGTTCCACATGCTATGGGATGGCACACACTGCAGAAGTGTACATAATTTTTTTATAGCCAGGGAATTAAAAACCAGGTAGAGATAACAGGACATCAGAATCCACATGCTTCATGGATGGTTAATAAACTGCTAATTTGTAATGGCTGCCTGTCTTTGTTTGTTTTTTCTTGTTTTGTACCATCAAATGGGATCTGACTTGCACAGGAGACTGCAGCTCTTTCTCCTGCAGAACAGCTAGTGGCCTCGAACCACGTGCCTTCAGGATTGTAATGCAGCTTCTTGCCACTAGGCCACCAGAGCTCCCTACCAGTCTTTTTGGCAAGTGATCATTGGCTATCTAGAAATTATTTGATGTGGTTTATTAGCTTGCTTATTCTTGGTCTTAAATGTGTCTGCTTACATAGGCTTTTAACTACTATTCAATTTGTATCATTCCAACAATCCAAAAGAGCAGAGGAGATGCTGATTAAAGATACTCTGTATAAAAATTGAAGAGTTCTTTGGCAGCACTTACCATCTTTACACCTTAGATATTTATGATAGTCTACTGCCAACATTTAACACTGCTTATTTTCAAATATACAAAAGTTAATATAAAAAACTCTAACTATAAAAAATTTTAAAAGATAAACTAGTATAATAAAAAACGGAAAAGAAATTTAAAAAGAAATCTTTTCATTCCCATAATATAAGAACTTATTTAGGAGATCAAAGATATTTAGAAAAACAATTTAAGTATGACAAAGCTCAAAGTCTAAGATTTGTGTAACATTTTAAATGGTGAGGCAGGAAAAAGAAAAAACCAAAAACCCATCTCCCCCAAACCTAAACAGCTTAATTTTGCTGGTCTCATTTTAAAGGTATGTTAAAAAGATTTCCTCTTTAACTTCAGTCTAGTCAAGGACTGCAAGGTCCAATAAAGTACAAAGAGCTACATGTAGCTATTTAAAAAGAGCTTGGTAAGTCAGAGCCAAAAATCTGGGGGGGGGGGGGGGGAAAGAGCTTGGTAAAAATTCAGGCCCTCTGTCTTGCTTGTCAAATTTCAATTGCTCCCCACATACTAGCAGCTACTACATACAGGACAGTGCAGCTGTAGAACATTTCCATCATCACAGAAAGTCTCCGAGACAGAGAGCCTCTTATTTCAACAAATCTAAATTTATGTTTAAACAGACATTTCAAAAGGGACACAGAATACTTACACACTGATAGAACTGCCCACGCTGACCGCCAGTTACAAAACGTTTCCCATCTGGATTCCAAGCTACACTTGTTAAACTGTCTTCATGAGACTGGCTCATTTTTGTCCTTAGCTCTCCCGTCTACAAAGAAATAAAACTGTGGGTAAGCCTTATTGATATCTTTGCTAAGAGCTTTAAGCAAAAGAAAAGAGAAAAAGAATAGTCATGTATTTGTTAAGTTTAGTACAAGACTGCTTTAACTAGTTTTATAAAAAACACTGTAGTACTCGAAGAGACTTTAGTAAGACAAATCCCAGAAGTTCAATGATGCCTGGTATAGGTGACCCAAAAAAGAAATACCATGAGCTAAACACCCTCACCTTAAATTTCTTGTATTCATAAGCTGAAATATGTAATTCTTCTCAAGCAAGATGATGAAAAGTTCAAATCTATTCTTCTGAGCTTCCACTTTTCAGTCTTAGTGTCATATAAATTTTAGTCTAAAAATGTAGTTACTATGATAGCAAATTCCTCAAAAATTTAAGTTGTAGAAAAGCTATGGTCTTAAATTGAGCCAGAGTGTCAACAACTGAACTGGCTGCTGATGTGGAATCAACTTGCAGCTGACTCGGCAGAGGCTGTAAGGTGCCAGGAGGAGATAGGTCTTTCTCCCACAGAGCACCTGATGGATCTAAAGCACCTACCTGCCTTCGAGTTGGCAGTGCAATTCTTCACCCACTAAGCCACAAGCCCACTTATGTTCAATTTAACATTCAAGATGTTAAAAATATAGGAGGGAAGACAAAATGGAAAAGAATTTTAATATAGAACTTTATTTCAAAAGAAAAAGGAATTTCTGCATTGTTTTAGCATAACCATTCTAAAGCATTCCCAACTAAGAAAGGACATTTAGTGGTCACAACCCTCAGATATCCTCCTGTTAAATGTTTTCTAAGTTATTCAACTTAGAAGGAAGACACATACCATTTAATCTAGTCTTGACTCCATTTTTGCTCATGGATTAGAAACAGGATCTGAGAGATAAGAGCTGCCCTTGGTATAATAAAAAGTACATGGGCATAACTTCCTGTGAGAAATGGGTAATCAAAAGTAAAAATAAAAGAGTGAAAACAAAGGGCATGATTAGGAAATGGGGCAAGTAGTAAAAACAAAGAGGGAACAAAAATAGAAAATTAGATGCCTCCCTTACACTGCGGAAGAAAGTTTAGTCTTCTAAATCCTTTCCCCAAGTTGTCAGCTATTCTCTCTCATCTATTTACCTTTTGGGTTGCTTTATTTATAGTAGCAGTTCAAATAAAAATTTAGAAGCACAGATAAATATATATTCTAGAACCTGTGGAGTTTTCTATTCACAAATATGACAGAAGTCAGCCAGAAATGATTTTTTTTTTGTTATATTCAGTTCAGTGAGTATATTTAAGGGTATCAAAATATTAAAAACACAAGGCAACAACTGAGAATGGAAAAAACAACACCTTGTTAGAAGAGATTTAAATAAAGTAAAACACGGTAAAACATTTATAGTAGGATAGCTAGTTCTTCAGAAATTAAAAACGGATTCAAAGGAAAACTAAAGGCACAATAAATGAAGAATTTGTTATTAGATGATTTAAGAATCTGCTGTTGTAGTGTGTAATACATAGGGCTGTGAGAGGGAAGCCAGCAGGTGGAACCCATCACTGCTCTAATGGACACCTCTGTGTCCTCCCACAAGAATCTCCTGCCTCAGAAACCTGAGGGAGGGTCCCTGGAAGCCGAAGCTGCTCGTTGACAATGGACTTCTGTTTACGATTCTACATCTCCTTCCTCTGCAGGAAGAAAAAGCTTTTAATGGGGAAAAAATGGTATTATTTAATTCCAATTAATTTCTGTTTTATTGAGAGAAAGCCAGTCTCTCTCTATGTCAACCTCCCTAACACAATTAAAATGTGTGAATTTTGAGTTCTGATTTACTAAAAAAATGGCCAAGAGATTTTAATAATTGGGAATTTTTGATTCTGAAATGAGTACTGGTTAATACTACAGAACTGCAGTTCGTATTCTTAGATACAGTAACATCATTTGGTTACACAGAGAATCATTTTCTCACAGACATGTCTCCATATCCAGGGAATTTACTATCAAATTATATATATGTACGTGTACACACACACACACACACACACACACACACACACACACACGTAAGCATATGATGTTCATATGTATATATACACACACATAAATACACATTAAAAACACCCTAAAATGAGACTTTTAAATTACTGAATGTAAGGTGGTGAGCATAAAGGTCCATCACTATAATGTCTACATTTTAAAATAATGTTCTTAATAAAATGACAGGATTTAAATAGAAGGAAATAACTAAACACTAAGAAGATTTTAATATTAAAATAGTAAACTTAGAATTAAGGTGTTTCATCTTTAGGTACACCTTAGTATTCCTTTTATTTGCTATACAATCCTTATTATAGTGCTAACCTGGAGTTTTATCTTTACATTCTTGGTAAAAATCAATTTACTTAATGGTCCCTGGACTAGAAATCTTACCCATCAGATTTTAGACCTAACTTACAGGTTTGCTTATTTTTTTGCCTTGACGTTGGTTAAACAGAATAAGACCATCATCTAACTTGCCAGATTATATAGTTACGTTTCTTTGTTTTGTTTTAAATTGTAATGATAAGGTCTCCAAGACATGGACAGTATAGAATGGGAGTGACTAACGTTGAGTTTTTCTAAAGTGAGACTTCAAACAAAGTTCAAGTGTGCTCATTTAGAAATAGGAATAAGGCCTATAATGAAAAGTACTCAAAGTAGCATGTTGCTTTACAAAAATGAAATACTAAATACAAATAAAGGAGATGGTGTGATTTCCATTAGAACGGAAAAAAAGGTTTGATGCCAATGCATTCATATTTGAAAGGCAAACTATGAAGCTATGAAATCACTATGAAACTCTGAGATGCAAGCACCATCGTAAACAGTATAAATTTAATAGTACAATAAAAAACATTCCCCATAATACTTAAAAACCTATTATGTTCAGCATAATACATGAATCTAGACACTTGTGATCTACTCTTAATTATCTTTTATAAGTGATGTAATAGTTTAGGTTAAAGAGCTCTGTTCAATTGATGAACAAAGTTATGATAAATACACGCAGTATGATGATGTTTTAATTAAAAGCTAAGCCAAGGATTGCTCACTTGTACATTCCAAAGCCAAAGCTCAGAGCAGTCATCAGGACCACAAGCAACAAGATAGTTGTCATCTGGACTCCATGCAATATAAGAAACACCATAGGCATGTCCTTCTAAGGTTTTAAGCAGTTTAAGCAGATGAGTATCCTAGAAGAAAACAAAGGTAACTGAGTTAATCCTCGTGCCTAAAGCCACTGTCAGTTGGCACAAAACCTTAAAAGCAGCTGACATACTTTGTTTGAAGAATGTAAAAAAAAATTTCATATAAATTTTATCCTGACTAAATTGCCAATAGCTTGTTTCAGAAAGACTGTATCTATTATAACATCTATTAAAGGCAAGGCACAGTTTATGAAATGACGAGATAAAGATCGCACAGAATTTATCGTAAAGAACCTTTCAGGGTAACAGAGAACAGATGGGTATCACAATCTCTCACTACACAACTTTACCGAGATATAATATGCAACACTACAATACTTATCCTTTTCAAGTGTACAGTTTAGTGACTGTTAGCATATTCAGAGTCAGGTCAACTATCACTGTGACCCACTTTAAAAACACTATCAGCCTCTCCGAGAAAAACCCCTTACATACTCATTAGCTGCCAAGAAGCTCTGGTGGCTCAGTGATCAAAGCATTCATATGTTAACTAAAAGGCCTGTTGTCTACACGCCAGTAACAGGGAGCCACAATGACACAGTTGGCTTCTGTGAAGACTTAATAGCCTTGGAAATGAACTGAAACAAAGAACCAGTTCTTTGATGATAGCCCCGGCCAACTGCTAATTCTCTCTCTCAGTTTACGTATCTGAAATGTGATCTTTTGTGACTGCTCATTCTACTTCACATAAAACTTTCAAGGTGTATCTACACCGCAACATGCTTCTGTATTCCATCCACCACCACCCCCCAGGCATTCAGTCTGGGAAGGATTTTATTAGGAAGTCCATTTCTTTTGATTGCTGAATAATGTCCCCCCTCTACTGATAAGGGAGCCCTGGTGGTTCAAGTCTACCAAGTGGTCCACTGGGGAGGATGGGCAACTTCATCCTGTGCAATTTATAGCCTCTGAAAACCTGCTGGAAGGCGGTTCTGACTGGATGGCACACAAGTACTGATATAGCAACATTAAGTTTACCCACTATCAGCTGACAGACATTTGGGTGCTTTCATGGTCTGAATAATAGCACTGCCATGATGAATAATGTTGCTTCTATAAGCTTTGGAGAGATGCACGTTTTCATTTCTTTTGGGCAAATGACTAGCAATGAACTGCAACTTTTCGTTATTTCCTATTTGGATGGCATGCTGTTTTAAAGTAGCCACTCCATTTTACAATCCTCCCAGCAAAAGCAAGGAGCTCTGGTGGCGTACTTTGTAGAGAACAAGGTGATGCCTCTCTAGTAGTTCAAAACCACCAGCTGCGCCATGGGAATAAGATGGGCAATCTCCTCCCATGTGATTTACAGTCTCTGAAAATCTGCTGGAGTGTCAGCTTCTGAGTCAACTCAAGTCGGACTCAACAGCAGTGGCTGATCAGCAAAGCAGTCAGTGTCATTTAAATTTAGTGCTAACCAATATACCAGACTGTATTCACAAAAATATCTCATTTAATCTCTATAAATCCTGATCTGCTGGGAGACTGGAAAACTCCTGAGACCACGTCCCTTATGATCCCCTGAATGCTTTTGAGCCTGAATCTGGACTCATTTCCCTTCCAGGCAAATGATGGACAGGACCATATTATTAACATCTGGAAGGAGACAGAAGGAACATGAGTATATCTCCCATCCCCAACCATATGAGATCAAGAGGATAAAACACAAACAGCAAAATAAAATAGAAAAAAAACAAACAACAGAAAAGGCAAAATAAAACCAGAACAAAATCAACCAAACAACAAAACAAATAAAAGGATAAAAAAAGAACTATAGACAGGATAGGAAAGCAGGGCTGAGACAAATGGTAAACAAAGAAAAAAAGGGAACAGATACTGTCATGTAAACAATGTCATATAAATCAAAGTGTGTGAACTGCTGAATAAAAAAAATCATTTCTTTTTTGGGTAAATTTTCACCTAACCCAAAAAAGTTCAGAACTTTGCCTCAATTTACAGTGCACATCTGGATTTGAATACTGGCTTCCATCAGTTACTGAGACTGAATTAGGAAACGCAAATGAGGAAGGAGCAGGTCACAAGGCTGGGAAAACATACATGCTTACTTTGGGGTAAAAGTTTAACTGTGACTGAAGAGTCACTTAAAATCTTTTATTTCCCCACTAAAAATCTTAACCCGAAAATATGTAACACAGTATTTAACTTCAGGGAGAGAATTCCAACATCGAAGAGTCACAATGAAGAGACTCAGCATATTATGGAAACTCATAATAAACCAACCCAACATTCATTAACAGTTAAGATATCAAATGAGACTTTTGCACTGGAATGGTCCAGATAGAAAGAGGCCAGTCAGATAAAAAAGCATCTGGGAAATAAAACTGGTACAGAAAATGTGACAAGTACTGTTCAAAAGACAACTTCCAGATTCCAGAGGTTGTCATGGTCTAGAGGAAGAAAGAATTTGGCTAGAAATGGAAGCAAGAAGAGTTCAGTTTTAGAATCAAGCCTTTTGTTTAAAAAAAGTTCATTATTTTTTGTGTGTGTACTGTCAAATCGAATCTGACTGGTACAGGAGGAGATCGCCCCTCCTCCTCCAGCAGAGCATTTGGAGGATTTGAACTGTGCACCTCTGGGATTGAGTGCCGCTTCTTGCCACGAGGCCACCAGAGATCCCTTAGAATCAAGTCTTGAGCCCAAGTTTTGGGTTGTGGGAAATTCTAATAACCTACAAACAGCTGGAACTAGTCTAGCAAACTTAGGTTGAATCTTCCTCCTTGACTCACAGAAATGTCATTGAGAAATTATCTGTACTGCCTTCTGTACTGCTTTGACATATGGAATAGTTAATAACTACTTCTGATTGTTCATGCGTGGTGGTGAAGATGGTGTTAGGCAAAGGCATCTGTATTTGATTAGCAATATGACTAGGCCATAATGGCTTGCATCATTATACAAATAAGTCAAATATTTCTGGCTAGAAGCAGAATTTTCAGCAACAAATTTCCATTCACTGTCACATTCCTGATTTGCACAAATAGTTGCTTGCTTATATACTGATGACAAACTCTTAAAAATGATGTAACTATTCATAACTCAGTTACAAAATGGGCAAGAGACATGGAAAGACTTTTCACAGAAAAGATTATTCAAATAACAAAGACACATTAAGAAATGCTCCAAATCAATGGCAATAAGAGATGCAAATCAAAACCACAATAAGCCACCATCTCTCTCTAGTAGCAGTGGCAGTTTAACAGGATTGCAAATAATAAATATTGGAGAGGATGTGGTAAGATAGGAACTCTTACACACTATTGGTGGGGTTGTAAAACGGTACAATTATTCTGGAAGGCAGTTTGGTGCTTTCTCAAAAAGCTGAACATAGAAACGGCACATGACCCACCTATTCCATTACTTGGAATATACCCTAATAAGAACTGAGGCACAAATGGAGACTTGTACATCAATGTTCACAGCAGCATTATACACCATCACAAGAACATGGAAACAGCCCAGATGTCCAACCGCAATCGAATGGATTGAGAAATTATATACATTCACACAAAGGAATACTATGCAGCACATAAGAGCAATGATTTTGTAAATTACTAACCGAACTGGGAAGGAACGGAAAACAATAAGCCGAAAAAAACAAACCCGGCCCAAAAAAAAAAAAAACGGAAAAAAAAAACCCCACTGTTGTAGAATGAATATGGTGATCCAAGGAGGGGGGAAAAGTAGAAGCAGAGAGGTGAGGATGGGTGGGTTGTGTGTGTGTGTGTTAATCATAAGGTTGTACAATTTGATGTGAGGATGGGGGAGGTGGTGGGGTGGTGGTAAAGAAAAAGTTCCTGTGTGATAAACAATGTATTCGAACTTTGTAAACAAACCAGTATGATAATAAAATGATGTAACTAAAAAATCGACTGTCTATATTAATCAAATTATGTGTGCATACTGTCAAGCTGCAAATGACTCACAGCTGACTCTCCAGTGAGTTTTCAGAGGCTGTACCTGGGAGTAGACTACCCATTTTTCTCCCCTGCAGAGCAGTTGGTGGATTAGAATCCACTTGCCTTTGGGTTGGCAATACAACTACTTAACACTAAGCCACAGGTACTAATTATGTAAGTAAAGGGTAGGGGGAAAAAGGCATTAAATCTTTAAATTAGGGAGCTTTGATGGCCTAGTGGCAAGCACCAGCTGCTCTACAGGAGACGGATGGGAAATTTCCTCCTGTGTGATTAACTGCCTCTGAAAACTTGCCAGAGGGTCAGCTATGGATCAGTTCTGACTCTATGGTACACAATAACAATACAACATACTAACCCTCTACTTTAAAATCTATTAATAGTGTCAAAACAACTATGAGATGTCATCTCACCCCAGTCAGAATAGCAAAATTTAACAGGGCAGCAAGCAACAAATGCTGGCGGGGTCTTGGAGAAACTGGAACCCTTATTCACTGTTGGTGGCAGTGTAAAATGGTGCAACCACTGTGAAAAGCAGTATGGCGCTTTCTCAAAAAGTTGAAAACAGACATACCATTTGACCCAGCAATTCCACTACTGGGAATATACCCTAAAGAGATCATAACCGACATCCAAGCAGAGATATGCACACCCATGTTTATTGCGGCTGTGTTCACAATAGCAAGGAGTTGGAACAACCTAAGTGCCCATCAACAAACAAATGGATAGAGAAGCTGTGGTATATTCATACAATGGAATACTACGCTGCATTGAAAAACAAAGGAACTCATGCAATATTACTCAAAATGGGTGACCCTGGAGGATATTATTGAGTGAAATATCTCAGTCACAAAAGGACAAATACTGCATGGTGCCACTGTTGTAGTATGGGACTGACATCAGGGTTGGAGTAAGACTGAGAAAAACTTGATAAATTATGTATACTGCATTGAAACAGATGAGGGAGAGAATAATTTAAAAGCGATATATAACAGGGTATTATGGTTATCACAAGAGTCCAGAATTAAGGTTGCATAGTGGAGTGTACTGGGG